CGACAGACAAGACAGAGCAGGTTACTTTAGGTATGAAACAAAGTCTCTGCTGTCAAATTTTGTCATTTTTTAAAGAAACTCAAACAATAAATAGCGTTTTGTGGCTCTTTTATGTGTCGTGAGAGATCACTGTAGTGCCTCAGTTCAAGAGGCACATGAACCGATAATCTCTTCCTCTTTACTATAGCACAAAATAAACATGAATAAACATCAGAAGGAATCTTGTTTCAGCCACGGAAAGATGTCAGTACACACCAAGGGTCAATTAGTTCTGGTTGGTTATTATAAAAATGACCAACAATTCAGAAAGTAAATCATGGTGATGCCAACTGGTGCTCAAAAACATGAAGCATGACCTCTACAGTATTTGGCAATGCATTCATTTGTTATTCACTTTTTTGACAACACCTTCAGTTATATAATAGCATATGGTATACTGTCATTAAAAGAATGATAATGTAAAACTCAAAGTCTGGCACCACTAGTAAAAACATTTTGATTTGGCATTCTTTTCTAATTTAATAAATGATTCCATATTACATTTCAGCACCGGAGCCTCATGAACTAAACCTGGCCATCATAATGATCCAAACAGCATTCTGAACTTCAATGGAAGAACATCTGACCGTCTCTACAAAGAGTCACATGATTTACTGACAGTAGATAAACATAGATAAATGTAAACATATCTTACAGAATAATATTTTGCTGCCACTAAGTGGCATTATAACCATAGACTCTGAAAAGTTAGAAAGTGAACATGTTGGAGCTCATTCTCTCGAGTTTATGCCACTGCTTGTCATCTACACTAATTGCAAAAAGCATCTGTAATGATTTCGAACACTTCAATTGATTAAACGTTCATGTTAAACTTCCAAAGGGGCGTCCAATCCTGCTCCTGGAGAGTCAGGATCCTGCAGAGTTTAGCTCTAAAACAATTGCCTGAAAGTTTCTAGTAATCCGGAACACCTTGTTGATCTGCTTCAGGTTCGTTTAATTAGAGTTAAAACTAAACTCTGCAGGACAGTGGCCTTCAGGAACAGTTTTGGAGACCCCTGATTTATAACTTAATAAAAACACATTTAGACACATCGAGACGTTTACCCTGAAACGGGCACTCTGTAAGGTTTACACGTGTGCATTTTCATTTTAAAATGCATAACTTTTGCTAAAATTACACCTGGCTTCCACACTACTCCAGAGTTTTCAACCCTCGAAAACTGAGACTTTTGGAAACGCTGCAGACCCTGTTGTAGTTTAAAAACTCCGGGGTTGCGTTTCAGTGTTAATAGACCAAAACTGAGACTTTTGAAAGTGAAGGCGTGACTGCCCACATTCGCTCCCTGATTGGTTCTTCATGGTCAACAGCAGCCATTAGGGCTCTTAAAATATTGATATTACACATTTACTTCATATTTCTTTAGACAGAATAATCATTTATATTCATTTTACACATTAAACATAACATACACATGATTACGATAGTGTATGACTTGCTTGTGTTTTTCATGAGATTTGGAGTGTTTTCATAACAATAAATGGTGTTTATAAAATAAAACATGGTTATTGTAGTAAAACTATTGTTACCACAAATTAACTATGATTTTGCTACACTAACCATAGTTTAACCATGGTATTCACAGTGAAACTGTGGTTATACAAATAGTAATCAATCCATCAAAAACTATGGTTACTACACTTTTACTATAATAAAACCATGGTTAATTTTCATAAAAATAGTCTTCTGACAGAAAACTTCATGCACACTCTATCAATATACCTTCTGTCACACGTTCTCATAACAGTTACCAAACTATCAAAAACGCTATTACACATTCCCTTATTTCACGAATCCTCTCCATGGACTTCCGTCCGACTGCCACCAGAGGTCACCCTTTCGTTACATTGACTCTCACTCTACACAAACTGTTGCATGTCATCCCGGACTACATATCGCAGCATCCATTGCACTGATTAGACACACAGCTGCTGCCAATCACACACCCTACATAAGCCATGGACTTCCTCTCTCTCACTGCCGAGTATTGTTAGTATTATCGCTGTCTTCGCGCAGCAACACTACGGAGCCTGTTCGTTAGCCATTGTTTATTTTCAAGTCCTAGTCTCAGTCTAGTTTTGCCTTGCCTGTTTTCCGGTCCTTTGATTCTCGCCTGTGTATATTGGATTACCCGTTTGCCTGACCCTGCCTTGGATACTGTTTGCCCCAGCCTGGACTATTGCTCGTGTTTACAGGTTACCCCTTTTGTCAAGCCCTCTGGATTTTGTTCGCCGATCGATGACCCATGCCTGCCCTAGGAATACTCTTTGTCTTGCCTCATTCATGACTGTTTGCTGATTATTGACCCATGCCTGTTTGTGACCACGCCTTTGAATAAAGCTCTGCATATGGATCCGCACGCTGAGCGATATATGGCTGTTTCTCAATTCCAAGAACGCAAAGAACGGACTTGTGTTCTCGTGGAGACCGGTCTTGCAAGGCTTCCTTGAAAGAACGAACTCCGAAGGACGCGAGAACATAGAATGCATCTTTGTGAGAATTGAGATGCGCTGTGATCTTGCTGCTCAACTGACTGTCCCAGAACGTTATAAGGAGCATATGTCCTGTGTCCATATATGACATATGCAATAATGTCATATTAAAACATTTATTTCAGATTATTATAGACAATACTTTCGTAGTATTTATATTATTCTTTTTAGTTTACCATATGTATTTGTAAAAATGATTAGGCTTAGGCATGTATATTTAATGTTAGCTATATTTTGTCAATGGTAAAACTATCAATGTTAAATATACCAATAAAAAGTATGACAGGCTTTTTTCCAGGTCATTATCACTTTATTAAAATTATGCAAAACAAAATGATAATGTTTACTTTCACGAGCCATCGCGTATTTACAGGCTTGCAGTGAGAAGTTTAAAAGCTTACAGGCTTCCGTACGTCGTCCGCGCGCAGCGTCTTCTGGGATTTCTAACGGTTCGATTCTCTCAAGTCTGCATTAGAAGCATCCTTGATTTCAAGAACGCATCTGGGCACTTTCATGCATCCTCTATACTTGCGTTCTTGGAGTATTGGAATTGAACTTTGACGGTTAATGATGACATAGAGCGAGAACACATGGACGCAAGATCGCGAACGCATATGGAGAAACAGCCAAACTCTTTGTCTTCACTCATTCAACATTTACGATATAAATCTGTCGGTTTGACTATGTCAGGTTTAAATTCCAGCAGCCAATTTAAACTTTCCCATAAAAAATCAACCATATTCCACAAAATCAGCCTTATTGAAGGGAAATCAGAGGAAAACTCATCGGTATGGTCAAGTAAATCCTCACAGGCCTGAGTGATTCCGTTATTCAGATCTTCGCGCTCAAACACGAGCTTCAACGGACGCGGCGTTTGGTTCGTTATATCCGAGTGATTTTACAGGATTATCGGATCAAAAACGACAAATCAAGGCGAGGTCAGTCGGTTCCAACAGCTAATTTACACTCTTAATTTCTATCGCTCGATCTAAATCGTTCTCCTGTTCAACAGTTGTAGCTCTGTCAAGTTCTGACTGAACTGAACTCGAACTTTCCGCATCAGTGGGCGGAGCGATTTAAAACAGCGCTTAATCTGATTGGTGTGTGAACATCCGCAATATCGTATTCGCCGTCTGATTGGTGTTTTTTTTTACTGCATTTTTTTAAACAATTTAAATGTTTAAATAATACATGCATTTATCATATTTAGGTATTTATTTAACTTTTTTAACTCTTGTGTAGTATTTGGACCAATCAGACACACAGCTATTTGTTATATTTAACAAATAATATCTAACGCCCCCTCATCTAACCAAAGGGCCAACTATGAGGGTCTATGGACCCTTCCCCCGAAATGCAACTAACACCTCAAAAGGGCAGAACAGGCCTCTGGTTCCATGGCAACCAAAGACAAACCATCTGATAACACTAGTTTTATTGCTCATCTTCGGATGATCAAATTCAGAATGTATATTATATGTTTATACCTATGCAACATATTAGTGTTGTAAGAACCTTTAGTAATTTTGCATCAACACCCAATGAGTTCCATATGCAAATTACCATGCTCTCACACAAAGGGTTGTAAAACTCTTCAGTATTTCCAACCTTCCGCTTGGAATTTCAGCCTTTCTCATTGGAGTTAGATTCTGAGAAGATGAGGATGTGAGCTGGAACGCTTCTGCAACTCTTAAGTCTGCACCAGGCCTCGGCCTAGTCTTTCCATTCACCAAGATCCTCTGACTCAAAATGGTTCTTTCTCATCACCTAACTTCAGCCAACCTACTGGAGCCCCAAAGAGCATCAGGACTAGTTATTTTCCTTAACCAGGAAATTAACATTCTTAGAATTGACAGACAGTTGACACTGAGAGGTCAAGTAAATACTTACAGCGGATCTAGTTATTTATAATTAATTATAACTAGTTATAATTAATTATTCATATTACCCCTTTGAGCTGATTCGCTACACTTGCTTTTTCAACTTCAACTTCACTTGCATACTTACATTTCTTAACTTTTAGGCCCTCACCACTCAAATAATATAGTATGCTGTATATCTATTTAAATTTCTTCTTTGTCATGGCAAAGTACACATTTTATAATTTAATATTTTTCTTTTTTTGTGTTGGTACATTCATGATTTCACAATTGAAACATACATTTCTCACCATTATTATAGCACTTTTTAGGTTGGTGGTTAAATTAGTGCCCAAAGTAGCGCAATGACCATATCCCAAAAATCAACACTCAAAATATGTCATTTCCAAACCTAAAATACATATTTTACAGTCACTGTTATGCACATTGATCATAAACACAGCTCAAAGGCTTCCTACCAGTGGCCCTCCTTCACAAAACTTACATCTAGCGCTGTTTTATCATAGGTGGAATGCAAAATGTTTCAATACAAGCATTTCAGTCAAATGTAATTTATGCAACATTTCAAACCTTTAACCCACGGGGGAAAATCAATCCATGGCAACAGTTTAAAAGTAGCCCAATTCCATGTCCTAAATCTCACCCCAAATCTACATCTAAACTTCATCTTTGCCACCCAGTTTTGAGAACAGCTTTTCCATCAGGAGCACCATGATGCCCTTTAAATAAACAGGCAGATCAATAGGTTTTGGCTCAGAGCCACGGAGAGATGGAGGGGATGCTTAGATTTAGACTTTACAAAGCTTAAACATAGATTTCTTACAGTTTTTGTTCAGTAAGGGACAATTAACAGATTTTTACTGTAGCATTTTACAGTGTTTTAACATTAAAGTTACAGTCATTTTTTACAGTGGACTTTAAATATAGTGATTAAAAGTCGAGACATTTTTAGTTTTTTCCACATTGATTCAATCCATTATCGTCTATTTCAAATAAACCTGCCCTATAATGATGGGTGAGAAAGTGATGATCTGTGATCTCATGTTAGAGATCTTATAACTCCTCTCTCATCTTCTCTTCTCTTTGGAAGACGTCTCCATTTGCTTGCTGCTTCCATTGCAGATTTGCATGCACTGAAATTCCCTGAGATATCAGTTTCTGCTTAATCTGAGGGGAAAAAACACAGATTTGTTAATTTAGTGCTTACAGTATGTCTGCTGGTCTTCATAAACATGCCTTACCATGTTAGAATGTAACTTGTTTAAGAAAAATATTTGTATGTAGCACTGATTGATAAGATACACACTTCAAAATTGCTAGTAAACTTTACAAATATTTACATAGAAATGGCAAGTAACAAACTGAATTAAATGTGGAATTTAAGTAGAAAGACTTTAGGTTCTCTTCACGTTTGTGAAATTTACTAGCATTTTCTGAGTGAAAATTGTTTCTACTCCACTTTTTTTTTCAGCGCAGTAAATAAAAGATTCACCAATAAAAGAATCACAGATTAATTTGAGTCGCTGATCAGCATCGTTAGTCTTCGTTTTTGTAAATGTTGTAGTTGAAGATTAAATGTCTCACCTCCTCGAGGATTGCAGCCTTTACATCGGGATCATTCACATTCTGATCCGATTCCACCTTCAGTCTCAATATCTGTCTAACCACTGTTCCTGTGGGTTATACCACACACACACACACAATTGAATAATTCATTGCCAATTTTTCTACTATCAAAGTTACTAATTTAATACATTCATCAAAGTGAATATTTTAAAAACCTTCAGAAATAACAAATTCATAAAATGGCATGTTCCTCTAACGTTCGCATAACCAAGAAGAAAAAATCTTTAAATATTAAACAATAGTGCTTTAAATGCTGAGAGAACATTCAAATGTAATATTCTCATAATATTTACATTATAGAATAAACGTTAAGAATAAACCAAGAAGAAACGTTCTTGATGCATTAAAAAAACTGGGAGTTTTGAACATTTGAAAAACAAAGTTTATGGGAATGTTAGCAAAACATTCGCTGAACATATCTTTTTTTTGCTAGTCATTCAGTACTGAGAGCATTGTCAGCATTTTTGTTCCAGCTGGAATGTCGCCAAAATAGAAACCGTTTTCCCATCGCGTCTGGTTTGGACACGAAAATTAACCATGGTTTTATTGTAGTAAAAGTGTATTAACATTACCATTTGTCAGGGGTGTGAAGTAACGAATTACAAATACTCACGTTACAGTAATTAAGTAGTTTTTAATCAGCAATTGTACTTTTTTGAGTTTGTATAACAGCAGTTTTACTACATATATCATGGTTAAACTATTGTTAGTGTTGCAAAACTATGGTTAATTTGTGGTTGCCATGGTTTAACTATAGTAACCATGTTTATAAAACGGAGAGTTCCGGTCCTTGATTCTGATTGGCTGAGCCACGTTCGAAGCTGTTGTAAATTACTCTACAAAGTAACATACACCTTTGTTTACGTTTGTGTGTTGCTCGGCAACCACTTTGTAGCAACCACAACTGTTTCTGAGGAGCTACATTGTTTGGTGGAAGAATACTGTTTTTATTAATATCATTACACTTTATTTGCTCAGTTTTATTTTGTGAAACCTTACTACGTATATGGAATAACCGTTTTATAAACACAATAAGCCCCGTGAAGCCGTGGTTTACAGTGAATTTATAACAGCTAAGGGGGTTTTAGGCACTCCACTTCGCGTCACAACGCCCCTTAGCTGTTATAAATTCACTGTAAACCACGACTTCATGGGGCTTATTGCTTTATTTTTGTTTGTTTGTTTTATTTGTAGTAAAACCATGGTTAATTTTCGTAAGGGCTGTTTCGTAAGCCACAACACATCAAACTTGGAGAAACACTCACTGTCGTAGCAGAAGAAAGGACTCGCGTCACTGCACTTCTGATCATCCCACAGTCTGCTGTGTCGTAAATGCACCACACAATCTCCCGATCCATCCGGTTGACCGGATTGCCAGTTTCTGAATGAAGACATGCTGTTATCGGACATGATGAAAGCGTCTTTGAAAAGGCCGATGTATGTGACACTTTCTGCAGGAATCAGCTGCTAGATCTGACGGTTCTCGTCCTCGTTCCTCACGCTGACCAGCTCTGTGTGATACTGTCTGCAGTAACTCTGAGCGTCTCTCCAGGACTTCGGCTTATTAACCAACATGTATTTGCTGTATTTCTGACCTAGGAGGTAAAGAAGATACACTCTAAAAAATGCTGGGTTGTTTCAACCCAACTTTGGGTCAAATATGGACTAACCCAGCTGTTGGGTTAAAATTTTTTATTAAATTTTTAACCCAAAAGTTAAGTTAGTCCATATTTGACCCAAAGTTGGGTTGAAACAACCCAGCATTTTTTAGAGTGTAAGCATTGAATTAGCAGCATGTGTTTGCATAGACCGATAACGATAAAATTGTAATAACTGTTCTAATTCCCAGAGAATAGCACGTCCACATCACGACTCTGGAACCACATCATTGGAATCACATTCAGAGTGATTTTTCCAGCTGATGAACGATAAATGTCGTGGGAACAGTGTTTTGAAATATTACTAATGTCCAGTTTTCTTGTTGTGATTAGAATGTTATTTAAAGGTTATGAAAACGTTCCTTACAACATTCTACTAACTTTTCATAAAAAATATACCTAACGTTTATATAAAATAAAACATAACATTTATTTTTATTATTTAAAGTGCTAAGAACATTAAAATGTCCAGTTTTCTTGTCATAATTAGAACGTTATTTAAAGGTTACTAAAACGTTTCTTAGAACATTCTTCTAACTTTATTTTCACCCAAAATATAATGTTATTTGACTGTTTATTTTTAATATTCTAAGAACGTTAAAATGTCCAGTTTTCTTGACGTTTAACGTTTATTACTAAAATGATTTTTTAAATATTCTAACAATTTGTTCTCAACACTGAGAACATTTATCAAGTACAAGCAACATCACAAGGATGTTCTAAGAAGGTTTTCTCTCAGTTTTAAGAACGTAATAATACATTTATAAGAACATTCTATAAACATTACTTTAAGAACATTTTGTTATATAACTTTTAAAAAATGTTAGTGAAAGTTGTGAAAACGCTCCCTTTGATCGGAGTAGTTATCATTTCTGGTGTGAACAGTTTAGTTATCAATTAATCAGTAATTCAGCATAAACTATTTTGGATAAAAGTATTACACGTGCATAAATGTAAATGCCGTACCATAGAGGTCTGGCTCGTAGCATATGAAGCTCCTGTCCATCTCACACTTTGTGTCTTGAAACTTTCCGTTGAAATCCATTACTGAACAGTATTCATCACCGAGGTTAGTTGGTTCTTTTAGTCCCCAGGTTCTGTATTCAGTTTCTCCGTCCTTGTAAAGCTCTGGATCAGCCCAGCGCCACTGCTTGTGCTCCGCTTTCCTCAGTCCGATCCAGGCGGATTCAGTGCTCATTACGTTTTCAAGAGCCAGAAGCTCCTCCATGTCTGTCCAGTCCTCCAGAGTCACCAGATCAATGTAATTCTCTCGGCAGTATCGCTGAGCCTCAGCAAATGTTTTGGATTCATTCACAAAGTAGTAGTTTTTAGATGACTCCATGGAGGCGTACAAACCTTAAAAAAAGTAAATATGCAGATGCAAAACATACATATTTGGCACTTATCACATGCACACCATGTTTACATTCATAGTTGTATTCCTTCAGTATCTCACCTGTAACACAGTGTATTCTACAGATCATGAGGATGAGAAGAAGCTTCTGATCCATGGCTCTGTCCTGCCATCAGCAAATTATGACGAATTAAAAAATGTCTAAAAATAATACACTGCATAAAGTGATGTTCTTTCTCAGTATTTTTGTCTTGTTTTCCAGAACAAATATTAAACTTGTTTCTCTTTGAAATATGTTGATTTTTTGAGCCCACTGGCAGATATTTGTTCTTATTTTAAGGATAAACTATCATTTCTAATTCATTTCTCACTTCTTGTTTTCTGTCATTTTGCTTTTCCAGTAAATGTATCTTGATTTAAGAATGTTTAGATATTTATACTGAAAAACAAGACAAAAATAAGGAAGGACATGACTTTTCGCTCTGTAAATGAACAGAGGAAAAATATATTCTAAACAACTATTTTTGTCTTGTTTTAAAATAATTAAAATAATAATAACAATAATTAAAAGATTTTTATGCAGCATCACAAGACAAAATACATCTACTTTCTCTGAAAACAAGCATGTGTCCATTTTAAAGCATGTTTAGATATTTGTGCTGAAAAAGGACTCTTTGCCATGTACATGAACAAGCGAAAAATCAGTTCAAAACAAGTATTTTTGTTGCTTTCTAATAACAATCAATATTTAATAATTGAAAAATGTTTATGCATTGTCACAAGAATTTTTTTTTTTTTAAATATATTTGTGCTGGAAAACAAGACAAATATAAAAAGTCAGAAAAGGTCCAGACTCACCTGTTGTGTTGAACTATCACATAAATCTTTTAAAGCACCCTGACTCTAGCGTTGTTTTTTATTTTTACTCGTTCTGCTCTTTTGGTTTGCTCTACAACCCTTCTGAACGACACAGACTGATTTTCATCCTGACTTTGCTTAAAACTTGAAACCCTTCATTCAAAAGGCATTAAATGAACATGGAAATGATCAGTAGCTGAGTTCAAGCAAAGAAAAATACTGACAGGCCGCAGGAAGACGGTTGGTCATGAATAGTGACAAAATAGCTGCTAGACAAATGAAAAGAGTGTTTGTCAACAGCTTTAAATGGAAGAGGAAAATTACATTGCTCTTATATATCTCAACGAAGTTCTCCTTTAACATATATAAATTGATTACTAAAAATAAACATTCAAACAGCATTATATTTTGGGTAAAAATAAAGTTGAACATCGTAAGAAAAGTTTTTGTAACTTGTTAATAACATTATAATCATGACAAGAAAACAGTTTTTTATAACCTAAATTTGTCACCTGGGAAACTGTGACGTTCAGATCACTTTTGTGGATTCTCGTGTGACGAAAAACAAAAAATGGACCCTCATCTTTAAAAAAACAAGAAACAAAATGACACTAGGTCAAAGATACGACCCAGACAACATTCAAAAACACATTTAGAAACCAAACGCTCAATCATTTATCATATTGTTGTGCCGATGCCATTCATGGTAATACTAATACTTATGTTTACATTTACATGTACAATAAATAACTTTTGGACTGGTTTGCAGTGCCACATCTAAAGTTGTAGAGAAACACATTCAACACTTGAACTTTCGGCTCAGAGCTTTGTCTTTGGTTTAAACCAATCAGAGGCCATTTTGATATGCCAATCAATAAATACTAAACTGTAGAACTCAGGATGTTGAGTCTTACCATCACTTTGGCAAAAAAAAGGATACACCAGTATCCAGTCGTCCATAGATTTACACAGTATTGTTTTCCATTCAAATTGTTCGGCTGGTCTAAATCCCATTGTATTTCATTGTGACATTGTAAGTCACACTTTCATCTTGCAAAGACCAGCGCCATGCGTTCACATCGTCATACAGTCCAATCCAAATGAAAAATTGTAGTTTATCTCTCTACTTGTGCAGTTTGCTCCACTCTTCATCGGTCTGGACAGTGGCCAGGTCAGTGTAGTTCTGTCGGCAGTAATATTGAGCCTCGTCCCATGTTTTATACTCTTTGATCAGAATATACTCACGTGAGCCGCACAGAATGACTGACAGAAACCCTGTTTGGAAAAAAAATGGTGTGGGGTTCATACAAAATCAGTACAAAAATCCAGTAATTCAGCGGTCAATAAAATGTGACTTACTGGCAAACGATCACATTCATCCACAAAAATACACTCACCTGAGAGTAAAAAGAGATGAATCAATCTTTGCTCCATTGCTGCTGAGATTAGCTTGGGTTAGTGAGGTCTTATCCATAGACTAGCTAAAAACGTATGGACCCTGTATTAAAATATAGCTCTGAACACATGCCCCTGTTGATTTGTGTACTGAAATCAGTATTGTCCTTATTCCTTGACAACAGCAGCATTAGTAATTCATGGTGTGAAGATTTGCTCAGCTAATGATGCACATCAAATGTGTTTACACAAATAAAGAGAGAATCAATCCAGAGAAAAGGAAGTTGTTTGCATGGGAAACCATGACATCTTTAGTCTTTAGCGTCCTTGTTAGCGCACCGCCTCCCATGCCGGAAATGTCTGTTCGAATCCCACTCAGAACAAGAACGAGGGGACTAGAACCGGAGGAGTGACGTGCAGTTACAAGCGTGTTATTACCTGCATGTGTCGCCAAGATAAATGTGAAAATACAAACATTGAAAAAAGCCGTTGTGTTTGAATGAAAGTCAATGGAGGGGAAGCCTCAGCACTCTAAATAACCTGCATTGTGTGAAAGTGGGACTGATTTTACAGCACCACCCATTCATTTCCAAGGTATCCACGAACAGTTAGTCATGACGGTGGTAAAACACTGAAAGTGATTCCTTGACATCGAGGCAATTACACAATGCCTTCTCCAATGACACTGCCCCTCCAAAGAGAATATCTGCACAAATGATCAAGCTGCTTCAAAACTGACCATGTATTTAGAAGGGAAACTATTTCAAGCAACACTTGCTCACAACACTTTCTATGCTCTTAAAATACTGAGAATAAAATCTTGGCGCCATCACTGTCCAGATCAAAACCGTACGTTGTAGTGGACCGAGATGCACCATTTATGGAAAACTAGTCAAGAGCAGGTGTGAACAAACAACACACACCCAATACTTTTCAACTTTTGGTCAACTTTCAGCTGTTTTGCATTTTGAATGTAAAAACAGCATCATTAAAGGTTAAAGGGGTCATAGGATGCTACATGCACTTTTACAAGTTGTTTGAACTGAAATGTGTGTTGGCAGTGTGTGTACACAACCACCCTAAAATGATAAAAATCCACCCAGTGGTTTTTTGTTAATCTACTAAAATCTTTACCCCTTTCTCAAATCGAGCCGATCTCAGATACCTGTCTG